ACATACATTAATGACCCTAAAATTTTAATATCTTACAAATAAACTCAGAATTAAAATCCAGTACTACTAGTTATCTGATGAATACAGAAGAACAAGCAAAAGCACATTCAAACTTTTTAGAGAAAATACTCTAAATGAATTTCCTTTTTTTTTTTTTTCACCAAGAAACCTGGTCTACCCATCATATCTATCAACAATACGGGTAACTTTTACCAGAAATCCTATGTAGGAGTGAATATTAACCAACATAATTTTAAATCTAAGAGATGAGAGTACTCCACATTTAATTGAAACTCACCCACAAACGACCTGAGCTGGGTAACAAAGAATACAAACTTGCATACAGAATAACCAAAAGCATAAAACCATCTTCAGAATCCAAGTTCTTTAGGATAATGGCATCTGCCCCTCATTTGACATTTCATGTTCTCCTACATAAAGAGGTAAGTAAGCAGATCGAATGCTTAAAGGTTAGCTACAGCCTAGTCCTACTATGTGGAGATGTGTGGGGGTGTGGGACAGGCCCTATTAGTGGTATGAAGTTCACCTCCCTTCAGCATCCTGCATGTATCGCTAGAGTTGCAATAATCAGGGTAACTTTTTTGGACAGCACCTAAAATACATTAAGACAAAACACCTCTACTGGCCTGAAGGGGGCTGCATGGTGCTCCTACATATGAACTGTGATCAACTTAAACTGCATTTTCTAGGTCAGTGGTACTTAGAGTATCCTGGTATCTTGGAAAAATTAATGCCCAACCCCTTCCTGCTGAGAGAGCAAGCTTTGAAGAGAATCAAGCCAGAATACGTTAATATTCTGACAGACCTTCCAAGTGACCAAACTAGGCACCCACCGAAACTCTAATTCCTACTGAATTTTAAAGTTACATGGAAAAACAAAACGACAACAAAAAACCCTGAGCGGAAAATAAATGTACACAAAAATGTGATCAGGAAAACAAGGTACCTAAAAACACACTAAAGAAAAGTGAATTTTGAAACCTATTTACCTAAAACTATGGGGAAAATGCATAAAATAGAACATTTTTAAAACCGTTAATCTCCATGATATGTCAGCAACAACATAGTAAAAAACCATTGTTTTCAGTAGAATGTTCCTTTAACTATCTCTGTCCCTTGAATCCTTGAATGCCTCTCATTAAATGCTGTCAAAAGATATTTTTCTTGAAACTGGTTCTAATTATATCTTTCTTGCTCAAAATCCTAAAAAAAAAAAAAAAATCCTCTCCCATTGCCTAAAAGATAAAGTTCAAATTTCTTAGCCTAATACATTCAACATTCCTAGTGACAGGCCTTCTCTCCAACTCCGTTTCCCAATCCACCTCTCATACCTTCTGTTTCAGGCAAAATAAACTCCCTATTCCTTATATACTTCCTGTTCTTAATATCAACCCATCCTGCTCACTCTGCCTAGAAAATCACCTCGGGCAGCCCCTATGGCTCAGCGGTTTAGCGCCGCCTTCAGCCCAGGGCGTGATCCTGAAGTCCCAGGATGGAGTCCCACATCGGGCTCCCTGCGTGGAGCTTGCTTCTCCCTCTTCCTGTGTCTCTGCCTCTCTCTGTGTGTCTCTAATGAATAAATAAACAAATCTTTAAAAAAAAAAAAAAAAAAGGAAAAGAAAATCATGCCTCCTGCTCAAAGCTCACCAATACTTTTAAAAGCTGGCTTACAAACGTCCTTCTTTTGAAGGTTTTCCTGCTTCCCGTCTGAATCCCCACACGTGCTCTAGCATAGCACCCAGTACACTTCCTCATATTAACTCTTATTATAGTCTCTCCTACATGAGAAACTATTTGTTTATATGCAGGCATATTTACCTTTGTACTGCCCATAACTGATCACAACTGTCACAATTTTAATTAATGAAACCCAGAAAGCCATTACTCCAGTAAGAGTCTTTAATCAGGTACAAGGGCGAAGATAGAGGGATTGCCCATTATTATGTATGTGAGCCAAAACATTTACCTAGCAGTTTTTCAAACCAAACAGCTCACTGCTACTTCTGTATGCTAAAATGTTTCTGATTTTACTTCTAATCTATGGGACCAGTATGCCTGCAACTGATTTAAAATAGACTGCAGGGACACCTGGGTGGTTCAGCGGTTGAGCGTCTGCCTTCAACTTGGGGTGTGTTCCTGGGGTCCTGGGATCAAGTCCCACATCGGGCTCCCTGCAAGTCTCTGGCTCTCTCTGTCTCTCATGAATAAATTAATAAAATCTCAAAAATAATTAAAAATGAAAATAAGACACAGACTGCCTACAAGATATTTACACCATCCCAAAGTAAGACCTTTGTACATACTGGCCCAATGATCACTACTGCAGTGGAAAGTCCATCGTCTACAAAACTTTAACAGCAATGGCAAGGATCTTCAAGGAGCAATTCTTAGAGGCAGTTCGAGATTTTTAAATCAGATATTTAAAAACTCTTTTTTTTTTAACTTTTATTTATTTATGATAGTCACAGAGAGAGAAAGAGAGAGAGGCAGAGACATAGGCAGAGGGAGAAGCAGGCTCCATGCACCGGGAGCCTGACGTGGGATTCGATCCCGGGTCTCCAGGATCGCGCTCTGGGCCAAAGGCAGGCGCCAAACCGCTGCGCCACCCAGGGATCCCTAAAAACTCTTTTAAATCAAAATTTTCACAAAGTAAAAGGGTAAAATTATGTCTGGGAGGTAAAACAATTTCTAAACATATGTTACAGAGAACACTGGTGAAACATCACTAAAATACACGTCTCTATTCGTAATTCCTTGCCAGAATTACTATGTAGAACAAAACACAAAAACCTCTGGGAGCCACAAAGAGCTATGGAACTAGTTACCCTTCCATATACTAGTGCTAAGATTCATGAATTTATTGCCAACCCCAAAATCAATCAGAAGTAACATATTTGGTGGTCAGATGTTGTCTATTCACCCTGAAATCAAAGTGAAAGTCCCCAGACTAACAGGAAAGTAAGGGAGGAGGGAAAGAGTGAAGAGCAGACCAAGGGCTAACTCAGAAAGGCCAGCAGTCTGAGTAGCTAATAAGGATCCAGGTGTTTCCACGGCTTTGTTGCGGCACAAGAGTAACACAATCAGTAAACATCATGATGCGAAATCTTAGTTATTGAGCAAATCATGCTCCTTAGAGTTTGTTAAAGAACTTGTGATGTCATGTGGAAAGGCTTTTTTTTTTTTTTTTTCAGAAAGTGGTGGTTCTTTAAACAGCTAATCTTCAATTCCTTAAGAAATTCAATTACACAGAATATTCCATTTCTCCTGGACAGAATGATTTTGTTCCAAGTTAGACATTTTCTGTTAAATTTACTATCTACATCTGTGGATTACCATGACCTTTATTTTTAGAAGGAACTGATACTAAACAGTGCCAGTACCAGGCAACAGAGTAACTCTGACACTTACACTTTCTTCAAAGTAACAAGTTAAGGGCACTAAAAGTACTTGACACACAGCCTCTGCCATCCCCTAATACTTTGTATCCATAATTGACAGAGTATGTCTGTTTTTAGGTTCTTAACTCTCTGGCACTAAATATTCATAAGCCAAAAATCAAGAAAATTAAGTGGTATGCTCACTCCAACAGTCAATTCTGATTTGAGCGTTTTTAACTTTGGTGTCTCATGTCACTAGAAACAAGTGATCATCAAGTCATCCCACCATCACTACTCCTATCTGTGACGCTAATAACGAGAACGCTCTGCGTGGACAAAATTCTCAAAGACCATCTCAGAAAGCAATCTAAGGAGGCTCTTAGGAATCAAAGTCATCACAGCCATAAAGTGAGGGCTGAAACTGGTCGGATCTCTAGTTATGTATCTACTACCACTCATTAAAAAAAAAAAAAATGTCACAATTAACTCAAACGAATACTTAAGTGCATTATCTTAACTTGGCTGCTCTCCGGGAAGACCATGCCATCTGACACAAAGTGATGCTTCTAAACCAGGCATGTAGAAACCTGCAGGATGGATTTGTGCTCATTTGTCCACAACCAAATGACCTAATCTAGGGCAAATCTGAAAGACCAGCAATAACCGTAGCGGGGGGGGGGGGGGGGGGGACCAGAACTGGCTTTTCCAACATGCTGGCAGCAAGGGGCCCCTTCCGATGGGCGAGATCCCGCACAGACTCCTTAAGCTCAGCTGGGAATCCCAAGTGGACGCTTCAAAAATATTAACTGAAACAAACACAGCCGCGCAGCTGGCAGGCCTGTTCGTTCAACACATGCAACCCTCTGCCAACTCACCCACCGAGGAAGAGACTCCACCAAGTCCCTCACATTCGAAACCATTACAGAGGTCTCCTGGGTGAGCGACCTCGTGGATCTGCTCCTACTTCCCAGCCAGGCACGTGTCTGCGTGGGGCCGCTCGGAGGGAGAGAGGCCAAGGCCGGCCTCCAACCTCCAGCCTCCCATCACCCATCTGTGGGGGGGGGGGAGCCCCCAGGGCTGACAATGGACGCAGGGCACCAACCAAACCTAAAGAAGAAGACGGCAGGGCTCGGGAGACAAAGCGTCGGGTACACAAGTTTTGAGAACACTCACTCCCAATCCTACGGATGCTCCGCAAGTGGGATGAGGGTGGTTAAAAGGTCTGTGTAACGCTTCTCATCGGCGGGGGGGGGGGGGGGGGGGGCTAGTTTTCTCCAAGTTAGCCGAGCTGCATCCGCTGCAGACAGCGATCATGCGAAGGCCCATCACACACCTGGCCCCGGAGCCCAACGAGCAGGGCGGCCCGAGTCCAAGCAGGAAACGCAGCTGCGGGCGCGCCCCTCCCCCTCCCCGTGCCCCTCCCCCACCGCCCGCTGCTTTTCCGCTTCCAGGCGGGAGAGGCCGTCCTCCCGGAGCCGGCGGGCGCGCGCCCACACCCCCGTCCCCGCCCCCCCCCCGCCCCGGGGAACCCACCCCGGGCATCCCCTTCCACCCCGGGGACCCCCTCGCCCCCCCGCCGGCGCGGGGCCGCACGGGGCTCACCGTCAGGCCGGTGCCCAGCACGATCACGTCGTACTCCTCGTTCATGGCGGGGGGCGCACGGGGCCGCGGCCAAGGGGCAGCACGAGGCACAGGGGCCGGAGAGGCCGGAGGGGCCGGCGGCTGCTCGGCTACCCGGAGCCGCAGCGGAAGCGCTCAGGCCGGCGTCGGGGCCCGACGGGAGCGGGGAGCCAGGGCTGGAGCCGACACGGCGCGGGCGAGCACGGAGGCCGGCCGCCACCCGAGCGGGGAAGAGGAGAGCGGGGCAGGGAGGGGAGGGCCGGGGAGGGCCGGGGAGGGCGGGCGGCGGGCGGCGGGCGGCGACCGGGCCTCCGCAGCCGGGGCGGGGCTTGGGGACGGCGCGCGGGAGGCCGTCGATCACGCCCTTCCCGCCCTCCCATTGGCTGCGGCCCCGCCCGCCGGCCCACCCGCGTCCTCTCCCGCCTCTCGCGAGAGGAGGGCGGGCCGTGCGCCCGGCGCTTCCGGCTCCTTGCGCGGCCCGCTGCCACCGTGGTCGGGGGTGGAGGAGGCGCGGCGGCGGCGGCGCGGGCCCCGGGGATCGTGCTGGGCGGGGGCCGGGGGGGCGCGGGGCCCGGGAGCGCCGGCCCGCTTGCTGACGCCCGCCGCGGCGTGGGAGCCCGGCACGCCCGCCGCCCTTGGACTTTGAGCGGGCGCCGGCCACGTGCGCGGGAGCGGGGGTCACGGGGGCTGCGGCAACCCCGCCCGCGCCTGCCGGGCCTGGGCCGCGGCCCTGCGTCCGCCCCGCCCGCCTCCTTTTTCTGAATGAAGCAGCACCCGCCGCCCTTAAAGCCGCAGAGACCTCCCGGGCTTCCTCTCCGTTCCCGCCCAGGTCCCCCCGCTTGCTGCGTGCGCCCCCTTCCGTCCCCGTGCCGGCCCCGAGGAGGTCCAGGGAGAAGGAAAGAAACCCACAACTTTTATATAAAGCTACCCTCAGGGCGGATGGGGGGAGCCAGGCCTGTTTGGGAAGCGGGGCTGCTGCGCCCCTGAGCGCCGCGCGGAGCAGGTCCGCGGAGCAGGCCTCCCGTCACCCCGCGCACCCCCGCCCCAACCTTTGTCGGGCCCCCCCGGGAATCCCCGGCTCTGGGGGGAGGTGGAAGGAGAGGCTGCTGCTCTCAGCCCGAGAGCGCGGACCCCCGCCTGGCAGTCCGGACAGGGATCCCCGAAGGCCCGGGCAGCCTGGGCGCCCGGCCCGAGGCAGGTGTGAGCGCCTGGCCCATGGCAGGTGTGCACGCTCAGGCTGAGGCAGGCGTCCGCGCCCAGGCCCGTGGCAGGTGTGCGCGCCCGGCCCGTCGCAGGTGTGCGCGCCCAGGCCCGTCGCAGGTGTGCGCGCCCAGGCCCGTCGCAGGTGTGCGCGCCCGGCCCGTCGCAGGTGTGCGCGCCCAGGCCTAGGGTTCCTCTCCAGACAGGGCCCGAGAAGAACTCATTGGAGTGAATCTTGGTAGCCAGAACTGCCTTCCTGCTTAAATCATTCAGATTCCGGAAATACTGTAACAGCTTTGTACAATGTTTCTTCACCCCAGGAAGAGCTTAGGAAACTGTGTCCTATCAGACGGTGGACCTTGGAGGCGGTGTGTGTGTGTGTGTGTGTGTGTTACATTTACACACCTTAATTGCATCTGTATACGTCGGACCAAATGCGTTTCTAGGAGTACACAAAAATTAAGTGCAAAGTTGACGTCTGAACCCACTATGGACCAGTGGGCGCGGCTGACTTTTCTGCTGACTAATCATGATGTTTTAGGAAGGTGCTTACTTCCTTACTCTCCAAGTATATGGTATATGTGTGGATAGATGGATGGATGGATATATACACACAAACTTACAACAGAAACTTCTCACAGTTCTGTAGGCTACAAAGTACAAAACCAAAGTGTGTCTGGGGAGGCCTGCTTCCCGGTTGGAGCTGTCTTTTCACTTTGTCCTCAGTGGTAGGAGGAGAAAGGGGTCTCCAGGGCTACTTTTACAATGTTACCCATGTTTTTGAACTGACTTGAACTATTGACCCATAAAAAAAAAAACACTAGCATTAATGACGGGGCACTGGGTGGTGGTTCAGTGGGTGAAGCATCGGCCTTCAGCTGGGGTCATGATCTGGGGGTTCTGGGATGGAGCCCCACATCCTGCTCTCTGCTCAGCAAGGAGTCTGCTTCTCCCTCTGCTGCTCTGCCTGTTTTTGCACTTGCTCTTTCTCTCTCTCCCTGTCAAATAAGTAAATAAATAAAATCTCTTAAATAACAAAGCAAAACTAGCAATAATGAGCCTGGCTGTAGACTCTTGGTCTAGGGGTCAGGAGTTCAAGCACTACCTTGTTCTTGAAGATTACTGAAGAGGAAAAAAAAACTTTCGGGCACGTGATTGGCTCAGTTGGTGGAGCATTCACTCTTGAGCTCACACATTGGGTGTGGAGCCTACTTTCTTAAAAAAAAATTGTAAAAAAAACCAAATTGTAAAATATAAAACTAGCAAAAACAATAAAGAGCCTTTTTCATGTATTGCCATCAACCTCTGAATGTTGAGGCTTTTAAGGATATTTGCTGAATTATGTTACCGTGGGGGGTTTTTTGTTTTTTGTTTTTTTTTAAGATTTTATTTTTGTTTATTCATGACAGAGAGAGAGAGAGAGAGAGAGGCAGACACAGAGGGAGCAGCAGGCTCCATGCAGGGAGCCCGATGTGGGACTCCATTCCGGAGGCTGAAGGAGCCACCAAACCACTGGGCCACCAGGGCTGCCCGATGTTACCACGTTTTAAGTGAGGGGTGTTTTACCAATATTCAGATGAAGTGAGAAACTTTAAGCACTGGATATAAGGGATCTGAACTTAAGGCTAATGATCCTTTTCACAGAAGTTTAGTTTTGTTGGTAGTACAAGTCTTGTGACCCCGGTGTAGGGACAAAAAACATAAAAACAAAACCAACCGGTTTAATCCAAAATTCTATGCCTGCTCTGGGATCTTCATCACCTATTTTAGTTGCCAAGGAACTTGATAAACAACAAATCCTGTTTATGGTGAAGAAGCCTGAAAGCCACTAAGTGGTTGGGTGTATTTTAGAGGCCTCAGTTCCCAGCAGAACGAAACCTCAAGTTTGGGGGGAAGTGGGTGATTGGTGGAAAGAAGTGGGAAATACCATCCCCGTGAAAGATCTTTCAAGTCTTTGTACAAAACAGGAGTCCAGTGTGAGTGTTATTCATACCCAGCTGCTTGGGAATCACTGCTGATCTGTTGGCACTGAGGCCCCACACCCGCCTTTCAGAGGGAGAGACTTGAGTCCAAGGAAAAGAAAATCAGAATGAACCTTGGTCCCGGCCTTCTTTCTATCCTTTGCCCTTCTGCCTGGGTTGACCATTATCTTCCTAAAATGTCAATTGGATCATGTTTATGCTTCTGCTTATGTTTTGCAGTAGAATAAAACGCAAACTCCTTAGTATGGCCTAAAAGGTATTGCTTATCCCAACCTTTGCATCTTTCTCCAGCTTCATCTTGTACACTTCTTGCTCACTACACTCCAAACACACTAGACTTTCAGTTCCTGGAATCCATTCAAGCTTTCAACCACCCAGGGGCCTCTACACCCTGTGGGTCCCATAGCTACTAACCCTCACTTCCCCTCCTACACCTCTTCTCACAGCTGGCTCTTTCCACTTCCTTGAGTTTTGACGTGAAAACCTTCCCTTGGGACTCCTGGGTGGCTCAGTCAGGCTAGTGTCTGCCTTTGGCTCTGGTCATGATCTCAATGTCCTGGGATCGAACCCTGCATCCAGCTCCCTGCTCAGCGGGGAGCCTGCTTCTCCCTCTCTCTTGCCCCTGCTCCTGTGCTTGTTCTCTGTCTCTCTCTGTCTCTGTCTCTCTCTTTCAAATAAGTAAGTAAATAAATAATTTTTTAAAAGATAAGGGAAAAAAGAAAACCTTCCCTGACCACCTTATCTAAAGTAGGTTCCCCTCAACTCTTATTCTCTAACCTCCCCCTGCTTATTTCTTTCATTGATTTTTATCAAATTGGTAATTACATTCTTTACTTGTTTTTTTTTTCTTTTTTTGTCTGCCTGCTAATCAGAATGTAAAGTCCATGAGGGCAAGGATATTCTCTATCTTGTGTAGAATTATGGCCCTAGAATAATGCTGAATACCTGGCAGATGATGAATAAATATCAGATGAATGCATAAGAGACATGGAAGTTAATCCCTAGATCAACAAGGACCACATGTGATGAAATAGGTACCAGTTCCTGCTGATACTTTTGAGAAGGGCGGCTTTCTTATTGCAGAAGATACTAAAATTAATATTTTTGAGGGTCTTAAAGATAGAGATCTATAAAATATAAATCTGATTAACATCTGAAAATCTAATGCTGAAGATAAAACATATTAGGATATCTAGGAAAAATAATTTTTTCTAGGAAAAATATTAATTAAATCCCCAAAATAAATATTTCCTAGTTTATGATAGATTCATTTACCCACCTCCACCCAGTCCCACAAAGAGCTCATCTGCTCCCAGTCTCCATCTGAGTAGAGTCTGGCTCCGTTCTGGGTCTGAACCAGAACTGGAGATATCATCCTTGATTCTGTCTTCTTTCTCTCCTTCCACATCTATTCCTATTTCCCTTTGCTGTGTACCAACCACCCCAAAATTTAGTGGCCTAGCAATGTATTATTATACCTTATGGTTCTGTGGGTTGAATGGGATCAGATGTGTGGGAATTGCTTGGGTCTAGGATGCTGCTGAAGTCAATGGCTGGGTGGGAAGACTGAAGACTTCCATGGACCGGACATCCAACATGGTGCTCTCCCGTGGCTGACAGCTGCTGCTGGCTGTCAGCAAGAGCAGCTATGTAGGTGTGTCCTCTCTGCTTGGCGTGTGCTTCTCAAAGTATGGTAGTTGTGTTCCAAGAACATATAAGTTCCAAAAAACAAGAAATGGAAGCTGCTGGTCTCTTAAGGCCTGAGCCCACAGATGGGCACAGCGTGCCTTCTGCCACATTCTACTTGTCTGAGAAGTTACAGAACACACCCAAATTTCAAAAGGAGAAGCCCACCTATCACTGAGAAGACTTGCCAATGGATGTGTAGCCATCTCCAGTTTGCCACAATACCCCATTACGTTCTGGCCATGCCACCTCATAAAAAATCCTTCCTTCAGAATCTCCAACCTCACTGCCTCTGCACTAGCACAGACCACCGTCCAGTTCTCTCCTAGGTGAGCGTGAAAGCTTTCTTAATTGGCCTTCAGTTTAGGTGTCCCAAACTTGTTCTCTACATTACAGTCCAA